GGTGTCTTCTCTATCAACTGATCCCGTAGCCCACTTTAAATGAAGTGAATATTAAATATATAAAGAACTATACTGTGGTCATTATAAATGGAGGAAAGTTGTGGTTTCCTTATTAAGTATTTCCATAGCCTACCTTCGATGAGGGGAAATATTAAATACATAGATAACTACAGTATACTTGGCACAAAGCAGACAGGCTGTAACTTCTCTATTAACTAATCTCATAACTCACTTTCAGGCTTTTTGAAGTCACAATGATTATTTTTGGCTTAACATTATCATCTTAGGATATAAGCACCATCAATTCCAGATTAAGGATCATTATATGTTGATATTGCTTGGGTTATTACTGCTCTTTTGGAGTAAATAAAGCAAATGAGAAATTGTATCAGAAATGGGGTTATTAACCTTGTTTAGAACTAGATTTCCAAGGAGGCATTAATAAAGAAACTAAGCGATTAATCATTAAGATTTTAAAATGATTTTTAATGATTTCTGTTTTCTAAGTTCGCAACAAGGCATACCACAAATAAACTGCCAATGGCAGTTCACTTTTCAGGGCACTGTTCCGAAATAAAAATAAGGAGAGGCTCAGTTTCTCCACCTAGAAAATGAGAACATCTCATGGCATGGGTTAAAAACTCATCATTGGTACTACAAGTGTGAGGGAACCAAACTGCTCAGTTTCAGAGCCACTCCTTTGGGAGAGGGCTCCATGGTATATTATTCAGCACAATAAAAGAATACTAAGTAAGACCTCATGCCACTGCCTCCTTCTTCTTACTCACAGGGTAAGGCCAATAACAGCAAATGCTTTGAACAACAGAAAAAGTAAAGAAAAATATACTTTTCATTTCCCTTTGCGTTATTATAACACCATCTTTGGACTAGGAAACCTAAGAAAATCTTACAGGTCACCTTACCAACTCTGGCGCAGGATCTAAATAAAACAATATGAAAGATAACTAGTTATCAAATCCCCTGTTTTGCTGGTTAAACTCAATTCATGTAAGAACGACCTGAATCCAAAGGAAGCTTCATGGCCATAAGCAGTGGTCCCACTTTTAATTTCCTTTGAGCACATCAGCAATGGCTGACAAGAAAGAGGCCTTGGGTCTGATAGCTAATTTCTGTTTTTCTTTATCTTTATATTCTTGTTCTGAGAGTGACAGTTGGTGGAGCCTGGAAGACACAGAGGGGTCTCTCAAGTGACAAAAACCTATGCTCCCTTCACTGACATTGCTTTCTAACGGGCTCCTTGCTAGTGTGGAAAGCAGGTGGTCACAAGAGCACAGTAAGTGTGTCAATGGTCTTCTTGCGGCCCACCGAAAAGCATACTGAAAGAGGGTAGATATGAGAAAGGACGGGCAGCAACCCACAGGTGCCAAGTAGATAACCTCATGGTGGAGCACCCTTACTTGATAAGCTTAAAACACATGAGGCTTTGCTGAGGTTCATGATTCGTCCAATGAACATGCATCTGGATGCCTGCCTGCTGAGCACCAGGCACTGTGCCAGGGCTGTGGGGGTGGGGTGGGCCTTACCACCTCACAGAGAGTTGACAAAGGCACAAACAGCTATGAGCTCAGATGAAGAGAGATCACCTTCACAGAGAAACTTGGGGAAGGCTGTAAGGAAGGGTTAGCATTATGTTGGGGGCATCAAGAATACATGAGAATCCAATGTGAGATGTGAGTAGGACAATCAAAATGGATCATTTATGATTCTAGTCAGTGTTCACTGAATGTCAAAACCAGCCTTTCTCATAACCCTAAGATTCCAAAATAGATTTCCTGGCCTGCTGCCTGGTCTCTTTTCATTCTGACCTATGCACTACACTACCAGGACAACTACCTCCAAAAACAACTTTCCTTTTTTTTTTTTTTTTTAAAGATTTTATTTATTTATTTGACAGAGAGAGACACAGCGAGAGAGGGAACACAAGCAGGGGGAGTGGGAGCAGGAGAAGCAGGCTTCCTGCGGAGCAGGGAGCCCGATGTGGGGCTCAATCCCAGGACCCCGGGATCATGACCCGAGCCGAAGGCAGATGCTTAACGACTGAGCCACCCAGGCGCCCCAAAAACAACTTTCAACAGGTCTCCTTTAAGACCTAATGAAGGTTACTTATCATCACCTTGGTTCCCAGTTCTCCAGTCAGATGCCAGCTTTACCCTTCCAACCTCATAAGTCATTAGGCCCTTTTAGGACACATCCTTGCTGCTCCAATACAAACACAGTGGGGAGTCCTATATACCTCTGTGCATGCTTTCCCCCTTTCTCTGGTCAACCCAACTTCCCCTTCTGCAGAATCCATTCATTCACCCAAAAGTCACTGATGGAGCCCAGTGACATGCCACACACCACACTAGGCACTGAGATCAAGAGACAAAACACCAAAATCACTCAGAGTAAATATTATAACATGTATTTTTACTAACATTTTAAACAAACCTATGGAATTAGCTAATTCAACTATGTAACCTTGAAATTATTTAATATTTTAAAACTTACGGTGCAGAAAATAATCTAAGAGCCATGCACATATCAACCACCCTCCTCATTTAGACAAATGTTAATATTGTGTCATGTTTGCTCTAGATGTCAAATTTTAAATAACATAGATTTGGCTAAGGTCTAATTTCTGATAGCTTCCTCCTCCCTTCCTTCCTAGAGGTACCACTATCTTAAACTGGTGTCATTCCAAAATATTTTTTATACTTTTACTACACATACATACATTCATGAACAATATAGAACACTGCTTAAATATTATATAGTGCTGCTGCATATACTTTTAATATGTTCATAGTGATATCCTCCTACATCTATTCTTCTACAATTTGTGGTTTTCACTCAAAAGTCTGTTTTGCAAAGATGTTCATGTTCATACATGTAAAGTAATTACTTCATTTTAACTGTTCTTGAGTCCACTTATCCACAGTTTCTCATTTCCATCCTGATGATAATTATGTTCTTTCTCATATCTTACTTTTGCAAATAATGCTATAATGAACATCCTCGTACCTGCCATATTGTGCACACCTGTCATACTTTCTCCAAGGACAGCATGTTCTTCAAGTTCTAAATCGTACCCTTCTTCCAGCTGATTCTCACTCATTGTTGAGTGTTTCTGACTCAAGTTTTAAAATATCTGATTGTGAGCTCATCTTTAGTGATGCCAGTTTCTGAGCTGGTGATTCTGAACAACGTGAAGAATTACATTTGGGCTCCAAATCCACATGTGGTACAAGCTTGGGAATTTACCATGGGTGCAGCCCTTTGAGGGTCATAGCTTAATACAGCAATCTTAAGTACACATGTACCATCTTGAACATATACAAGGCCTCATTCTTGGGTCCCTGTATGGGTATTAATTCTAAGACTCTAGTGCGTTTGGAGGGGATGGGTTGACTGTCCCTAGATCTCCTGCAGAGGCAGCTCAAATGCTTCTGGCTCTGGCTTTCAGTTTCTTTCCTATTTCTACTACCTTGGGATTTTCCTTTCTATTTTGCCATTTTCTCACTGTATTGACTTGCTTTATTGATACATCAAGTATTTCTACAGGTTTATCAAGAGAATTTCTATGTTAGTTTAATTAGCTAAATTGCCAGAATAAAAGTCCTAACTGAATTCGTTAAATGTTGAATTAAATTTTCTATGTATAAAATTATGTATTTTTAAATCTGTGGGTCTATGTCTTTGGAAATATATACAATACATACCATATTATTGAGTTTGTGAATTGTTCTTTTTGGTGCTAAAGGTACAGATAACTTTTTAAAAATATTGAATAATTCTACTGAATAGAATTAAAATTATTTTTAACAATTTTAACTTCCTTTATAAATTATTTCATTGACTAACTACAAAACCAGAGTTAGAAATATTTGATTTACAATTTTACTCCTTGTGTATAATTTCCCTTCCTAAAAAAAAAAACCCCCAAAACTGCCTGGATAACTAAAAAATGATCACATAATTTAATATTTATGTTTTAAAAGTTTTATTAATCTTATTTATATACTTTATGACTTACTAAACATACCAATATGCACAACTCTTAAGGGTCAGAGATGAAAAAATTCACGAGAACACAGCTTATCAGCCTAATATTCTTAAATCCATAGCAACAATTAGCCAGAACGGAGGAACTACAGACAGCACTGTATTCACTAAGAAGGCTTTCTTGGCTAAGAGTAATAGATGATACTGACAAGTAGAACAATAACTATGTTAGAAATAACTAAAGAGACAAGTTACTGTTGGTACATACGTACATAGGAGTAAAGAAACCAAGCTTCAAATTGCAAGCAATAGAAGTTATTTTATGGTAGGCTTTACTAGAATATGTAATTAACAAGAAAGAAATCCACAAATAGGGTAAGTAGTGATTTCACCATTTGGTGCTTATGGCACTAATTTTTTATAATAATGATATTTTTAAATAGCTTAAGAGGCTATTTAAACACAAAACAATAATTCTGATTAAACATGGCTTTTTTTCAGTAATATATTGGTTTTCAACTTATTATGTGAATACACTAAATTATTTCATCTAGTAATTATTTTGTATGGTAGTTTTACAGAGTTCTAGAAAAACTCAAGGTCAACTGAAGACATGTTTAAAAGCTACTTAAATGTTACCATTTAGAAATATTTCTTAGTTAAAAAAAATCAATATCAGGTTTTCAAAGTCAAATAATTAGTAATTAACTGTGAAAAACATCCATTAACTGTGTCTACATATGAGAAATCAAACTTTTAAAGGTAGCGTACAGAAACTTACCAATGCCATATAAAACACTTCAAGCACAGGACTGAAGGATAATCAATATTGCAAGAGGCTTCCCAAATTAGAATAAATTGACAGTTTTGGTGTCCAATTCAGAAAGGCAAGTTAATAATGACAACACTAAGAGAATCATTTGCTGCATCCAGGACAACTTAATAAGGCATGGAACTTGAAGGCATGTAAAAAGATAGAGCCGTTGGCCCTGTACCTGGTGCTGGCGATACTTGGGGATTCTGCTCCAAGCCTACATCTCTCTAGCTGACTGGCAACAATCTGCCTTTCCACTTCCAGTTCTCGGGTGAGTCGTTGAAACTGAAGCTCCTGTGATTCAAGGAAATAAAAGGCATATAAGGTGCCAAGACAGATACATATGTGAATGCATGTCACAGGAAACACAGGAACATACCCACAACATAGCATTGTATCTAGTGTGGCTTCGTGAAATTAAAAAGTTTTAGGTGGAATTGTGGGCCTAGATAACCTACTGATTTGTACTTTTTTCAAACCGAAAGGCACCAGAATATTAGCTTTGTTTGGAATGGGAAACGTAGATATTTATTTGCTTTTCTGTCTGTTCTTCTAATTGAGGTTTGCAAACAGTACTTCTGCTACAGTGCTCTATTAAATGTAAGGTCTGCAGAGTCCTTGATGTGTCTACATCAGGTGCCCACCAACCAATGTAAGCTCTACAGCCTTAAGAGCTAATTTTTTTTATCCTTCATACTGTATTGAAAAAATGTAAATTCCCATGATGAGCATCACTTTATCATGTTTGATAGAGCCTTTAATTGTTAAGGAAAAATAGATCATTCCAACTCTACAGAAAAAGTCTTGCTATGTTTATCTACAATATAAGCAATAAAATTTTTTCTATTGTTATGAAATAACATGTTCATTGTTCATGTGTCACTGTGTGAAGGGAAGAAAAAAATAAAAGTCTGAGCCATAACACAGAATTTAAAATTGTATTTAAAAGCTGGGAAGATTGTTTAAAGAAATGATCTTATTCATTGTATGCCACATTATGAAAGCAAGGAAGTTCTATCAAAGGAGAAGATGCTTTAACTTCATTTGTACTTATCTCATTGTTACCTTGACAAGATTCTAATTAATAGGAAGGATGCTATGCTATAAAACATCTACAGACCAAATCAAGTATACTCCAAAGGCTTTAAGCCACAAATAACACCTCAAGCTCCCCTGTGCCATATTATCTTGCAAGTCTACTCAAAGCAAATGCCGAACTGTAAGTAGTTTAACTGGACAATGACCGCTAGTTCAAAATACTAGTCTATGAACCCTAAACCTAGAAACTAATCAGAAATAAAACTACCTTAAAAATTATTTATGACAATACATACATATTTGTTTGCCATGCAAAAACTTAGAACAATTTAATTGAAGTGTATTAGCTCCCTGTGGAATCAGGCAAACATGCTATTACTGACAGCGCAGGCTTTGTAAATTCTCCAAACTATTCTCAGAATAATTTTTAAGATACAGTCCCTGAACTCCTTACTGCTTTCTGATACTGAGAATACTTTTCTAATGAGTCCAGCTTGTGTGGGTATATAGGGCATAGCCTGAATGAATAATACTTGGCTCAAAAATGTTGTACAATATGATCAAAGTGGGATGCTTCCTACCTCTGCTGAACATTTCCTAGACTTCTGTTCTTAATAAATGTTTAGCAACGAAAGACCAGAGAGATAATAACTGTACAACATTCAGTATCAGGCTAAGATAATTGATTTTAAGGGCAAATAGTCTTATGCTTATCTCACATTTGGTCTTACTCTGCCCTTAAACAACATCCAATTTCTTGTGACACACTTCCATTCTTTCAATTTTACTCAACTGTTTGTTATACACTCTTATCCCAGAAGACTGGCTGCTTGTATCAAGCTGGGCCAGAAAAGGACCATCTGTGAATACAAAAATATTCTCAGAGCCATCACACTACCTTTGTGTTCTGAGTTCAGTGAGTACTAGGGATGGAGGGCTGCTGTGTTTTCTTCACTTGGGATGGCCAAAAGTTACCACGGTAGGATTAAAGTATGTTTCAAATTAGAACAGAAAAAAATTTTCATTCATACAAAAAAATTCCATTTCAGTGGATTTTTATCATGTTGGTGGCTGCCTATGACATTTTGAGCATTCTTTCAAGGGAATGGTTGGGAAATTTCCCACTTGAAGGCAGAAGTTGGAACTTACTGTCCCGTAATTCCTTCCCTCAGAAGCAGAGATACGGTGACTGGCTCTGCCAAGAAGATGTCAGACTGTGACTCAGGTGCTAAAACTAAGACTCTGACATCAGAAAACACGAGCTTATTTTCTTTCACCTTCTTGCTGCAATCCCTGCAACAGGCATCAGGGTTAAGTTCCTAATACAGAAATGACCTCCACACAAACTGCTATGTTGATGCTTAGTGGCAGCATTGGTGGTTTCTTTATCTACCCAATTTTGTGGTGTTTCTGGAAGTTGAACCTCAAAGCTTGTTCTCCAGCCCTTGCTACAAACATGGGAATTCACAAATACTTGCTTAATAATGCCTTTTTCTACATAACTAGCCATGTCAGTCTCTGTTTCTTACAACTAGAAATCTTGACTGAAGCACCTATAGAAACCATTGATAGCAGTCGAGTTGCTAGGAGAATCAATGTACCCATGATGTAGCTACATTTTTCATTTAAAAATTGGATAATTACTTCAACATTCATACAGACTGATAAAGTCCGCATTATATCACTACTGGCCATGGACCTAAAATATTGAACATCACCAGCTACTTTTATCAAAATAATTCTGCCCATTATTTGCTCACACTTCTCATAAGCAGGATGTCATTAAAGCACTGAAAGCAGAATATCAGGAAGATATAAAGCAGGGAATTTGTAAAGGTTACCTAATACCTGTGAATATTTATAAGGAAAACATATGTATACTTTGTTGCAAAATCATAAATATTATACCTACAAAACACAACTGGAACACCCATATGGGACTAGCACCAAGATGGGTGAGCAGGATATAAATATTTGACAAATCTGTCTCTACCAGCTTCTTAGACTGCCTGATGAGGAAGACAGTATTACATGGTCATATAAAAACACACCTAATCGTTTCTAAAATAACGCTCATTAAGATGATTACACAGAGATACCACCTATAAATTTAAAATTTGTATTTTACCACACACTCTGGTTTAACCTTACATTGTAAAGGCGAATCCTTAAATCAGCATCCAAAACTGGTCATCTAAATTATAAGGGGACCCTATATTTGTTCTCCTTTGTGAAAACATGGAAAATAATGTTAAAAGATTTGCCAATGATTTAGCATATGACAATTTCCTCTTAAATTCTGGCATACAAGACCATAAACAAACTTAGAGAGAAAGTCAAGGCTACTAGTATGCTATAAAATGGAGTCTGTTCACATGTGTTTGAAAGCTTTTTTTTATGTTTACCTCATCTCTCTCAGGTAAATACACTGATAAATATTCTCTGACAGTGAGCCAAAGGAACAGAAGAAAAAAAACTTCATTTTCATGCTTTGTATGGTGGACAGAGCTGGGCAGGAAGCCCAAGGAAGGACTTGCTGCCCAGTTATCAGCCACCTCAGGGGCGCCTCAGCTGCAGAGAACCGCCTGGCTCAAGGGCATGCCCTCTGGGCAGGTTGCAGCCAGCCACTGATTGAGGTAGGTGTACAAAGGCAGGGCCCAGATTTGCTCCAGAGTTCCCTGTGGGCTGGGCCAGCCTGCAGAGTGTTTGAACTTCTCCTCTACTCAATCCTGCTTTTCCTTCCCCTCTCCTCCACAAGTGTCTATCTGTAATAAATACTCTGCACCCAAAATTCCACCTCACCCAACCTAAGTACTGTTTTTTGGCCTCCTTTTATATAAAGAGAGAAATTTTCTCTCTTGATTTTTAAATACCATGAGATACTTCGAATGCAGAGAAAAAGTATGGACAATAACACAATGAGCTTTGGAGAAACTGACCCAGATACAGCAAATCTTAATGTTTTGCTACATTTGCTTCAGGTTTTTTGAGAAATAAAATATTACAGATATATTGAAACACCCTAGTTTCTCTCTCATGGATCCTATTTCTCTCATTTCTCTCGCTCCCTCTTCAGAAGAAACCATTAAGCTGAATTTGGTGTTTAATATTCATGTGAATATTTTATAATTACTACTCCATATTTCCAGATCCATAGATGACTTATAGTATTGTCTTGCATGTTCACATAACTTACATCAGTGGTAATACTGTGCAGACTTGTGCAGATTGCTTTAATTATGATTTTGAGATATATCAATATCAGTAGAACAGAACTCATTTATTTTCCTTTCTCAGCAGTATTCTACTGCACAGCTAGAGTGCAATGTATTTATATGTTCTCAACATGATGAATCCTTGGGTTGTTTCCAATTGTGTGCAATTATAAGCCTGCTGCCACATAAGCATCCTTGTACTTGTGCACGTGTGCCTGACTTTTCCACAGTAGAGACCTAGAAATGGAATTGCTGGGCTGAAGGTAATGCACATCTTTACTGGATAATGACTGTCACAATTATTTTCCCAAGCAGTTGTACCAATTTATATTCCAGTCAGCAGTATATAACAGAGTTCCAGTTTCTCCACGTTCTCATGGACATCAATTTGCATTTGGGGGCTTAAATCCCCACTTCCTTTTTTGGTAATTTGATAAATATGGGAAGCTATCATGCATTTGTTTTAATTTATATTTCCCTGATAACCGACATCTTTTCATATGTTTATTGGTCATTTAGATTTTTGAAAATCATAGGTATCCTAAATTCTCACACGTGTGAGAATGTTTCCCTATTTCCAGCACCCAGGCTTGTCCTCTTCTGTGGGGCAAGTTTCTTATTACCCTTACACTAATGTAGTTTTGTAAAATTTTAGCTTTGGACAAGGGATCTCCTGTTAGACTCCCCACCTTGGGCAGCCCTCAAATGGCAGGTAGCATGTCGCTGCCAAATGGCATGCTCAAGATCACCTAGGTTTGGCAGGTACCTTCAAGGTGAAAGCCAGGTTTACTTACTGCTTACTTAGTTTAAGATTCCCACTTTCATTTCAGTTTTGGTTTCTGTGAATTCTTTACTTTCCAGCTTAGCCCTGCTTTAAAAAACAAAAAACAAAAAACAATGCAAAACATTTTACTCAGCATATTTAGTTTCCTTCAGGGAAAGGAATAGCTAGGGTATGTCAGAAATTAGAGTCTTAATAGATTTTTCATATTTTCTCTTAGCTACTCTGAAGTACATTCAGGGGGAAGTTTCGCAGTATTA